TCTAATCCAGTCTCTTTCAATAGTGTCATTTCTCAATGCCGTTGTCACAGTTATTTTGATTAGTAAAGAACAGCATCTAATAAAGCTGGGATAGAGAGAGAGGGAGAGACAGAGAGAGAGATACAAAAAAGATCAATGAAATTTTGGCACCATCTTGATTAGGCAAACCTCAATTCCATAAAATACCAACCAACACTCCACAGAGCCTCATGCATACTGCATACACCCCAGTGGCAGACTGAGGACTTACCCGTCTCACCCTTAAGTACAACTGAACAAACTGATTAAAAGACAGAAGGAAACACTGCAAAGTGAACTGAACCACTAAAAGAATTATAAACGGCATGCGACGCGGAGTAATTACTTTTGCTTTTGCTTTGGCTATGGCCAATCAAACAGACATATCCGTAGTGCCTGTTTTCTGGCTTGACCACGCACTGGTGGGCCAGTAAAGTGCCAGAGCTAAATTATCACCCCTTGTGCATCTGTGAGTCCACAAGATGTTCCATTCAAAAAATAAACTTTTAATTGTTGTTGATGCTGCAGAAAATTAGCCGCCAGATGTTTTAGCATTGTTTTTATAGAATTGTTAAGCCAAAATACAAAATTTGAAAAAAAATCATTCAGTTTCACAAGCTTTTTAAATACAGTTGCTGCACAGAAAACAGAAAAGTTGCACATATAAAAATAACCAGAAAAAAATAAAGGAAACATTCCAGAAAACATCCTAGATGGTGGCTATTATGGCATCATGATGAAAGGAACGTTCCTGATGATTGTCAGTTGACTTGGTCAACTAACTGTTTACTTTGTGTTAATTTATTAACTACTTAATTACTTAATTTTTTACATACATTAATTTGTTTTAAGATCATGCTGCAGAACACGTAACAGGTATTCACTCATTAGAAATCTTCAGAGTCACCAAAGATTTCAATAATTCAAGGGATTGTGAATGAGAATCAAAATAAATCAGATTCTCAACTTCATACTTTTGATTCTAAGGTTTCATCACATGTACCACTGTTGCATTTCATGATCTCCATTACATTCTCTTGGCAAAATTGTAAACAACAAAAGCCCAATCAAAATCCAACCTTTTGACAGTTTGTAGATCATTAGGAACAAATACGGAGTTGGAATCAAACCGCTCCTCGGAGGCAGTCCCAACTCCAAAGCAAAGAAAGAGCATCAGGGCTGATTTCTGAGCTGACAGCCAGAGCAAGAGAGCAGCTTTTAAGCCGTCTCTTCAAGCGGTTCCTACTGTTTCATCACTGCTGCCTTTGTATTGCATCTCAGAACACTTATCTTGCATTGCATCTCAGAATAATCTGCTGTGTATGAGTGTGGTTTGTGCAGTGTGTGTGTTAAATATTAATAACAGGTGGAAACAAAACAACAACACAACATCAGCAATGAAACCACTGCAGCAGGTTAACAGTGTTCAGAGAACAGAGTCAGGAAGTTTTCTGAGAGAGAGAGAGCAAGAGGGAGAGAGAGAGATTACAGATCGCAGGGAAAAGAGAGGGTGGAGAAAGAGAAAGAAAGAAGTGAACAATTGTGACAGCCCTGGTTTAAGCACTCCTTGATGTTGTGTGTCGTGTGCAAGAGGGGGCGGCGCATTCTCTGTCCCCGAGATAGAATGACTCCCTGCTGGGCAGAAGGCAGCAGAGGGGTGGGCAGAAGGCAGCAGAGGGGTGGGCAGGGGGGGATCACATGGAGCTGCACAGCCACTACCGTGAGTGTCGTGTGTAATTATCCAAAACACACATACACACACACACACTCAGTCATAGGCTGACTGGTGCACTGACAGTGAGTGGGCCTGATGTGGAGCTGCTCTGAGAGATGCATGTTCTAACACAGAGATGAAGGCTCTCAGCAGGGGACTGATGTTTTAATCCCTCGTGTGTGTATGCAGTAAGCATCAGGATTCGGGGGAGACTGGACAGTCACAGCGCATAAAGTGGTAAATACACTGCTGTGCTGAGGTGGAGATTTAGAACTTAACACACAGAAGTCACACTTGTTGCTAGCAATAATAAACACACAGTGTAATTTGTATTGGCGATATGGCAAAATATGGCAAACACATGATAACACTTCAAGACATTTTCATGATGGACGATATGCATCACAATATACACACATACAGTATACACTCTTTGTCTATTTTATCAGCTCCACTTACCAAACCTGCCATCTTTGTAGTTCCTCAATGACAGACTGTAGTCCATCTGTTTATCTGCATACTTTGTTACTCCCCTTTTATACTGTTCCTCAATGGTCAGGACCCCCAGAGGACCACCCCAGAGCAGGTATTATTTGGATGGTGGATCATTCTCAGCACTGTAGTGACTGACATGGTGGCATGTTAGTGTGTTACGCTGGTGCGAGTGGATCACACAAAGCAGTGCTGCTGGAATGTCCACTTACTTGTTGGTCCACCTTATAGATATAAAATCAGAGACAGTTTGTGTTGGTCATTCTCTGGTATTTCTTCAGTGGTCAAAGGACACTGCCCAGAGGATGCTGATGGCTGGATATTTTTGGGACTATTCTTAATCCAGCGGTGACACTGAGGTGTTTAAAAACTTCATCAACACTGCTGTTGAAAGAGATCTAACAAAGTATGCAGAGAAACAGATGGACTACAGTCTGTAATTGTAGAACTACAAAGTACTTCTATATGACAAGTGGAGTTCATGAGTGTAGATACAAGGAGGGGCACTTAATGAAGTGGCCAGTCGGTGAATAGGTTTTCTGTGGTTTGATAAGCTGGAACAGCCCCAGAAATGCCACATTTTACAAAAATATGATCAATGCAAACATATTTATTCAACATTCAACATATTGCACTGCACTAAATCAAATTGAAAAGGACTAATTATGCTCTCTCTGTAATAAAACATGCAGTTGTTCAGTGTTCTTAAAGTATCTACAATATGCGTACTGTGATGTCATGCATTTTTGGTGACTGGATCATGTATAAATTTTACTTGATCAAATGAAACGCCAGGTGTACACACAAAGGATACACTGTGATAGGATGATTATTGGATCATTAAATCCACATTTGGAAATGGATCTTGACCACATTCAACACAAGTGTAAAAGGAATGAGTTTTCTATACCTGCATACAACTATGCATGCAGAATTCATCACACAAAAAAACACGTTTTCACTGCTCCAGAGTCCAGTAGCGGCATGCCTTACACCACTCCAGCTGACACTTGGCACTGCACATAGTGATCTTAGGCTTGTATGCAGCTGCTCGCCCATGGAAGCTCATGTCATGAAGCTCCCAACTAGTGGTCTGCGTGAGACTGTTCTTCCAGACCCACGCCCACCTGCTCCTGCAAGATTTCATCCCATGCCCGCCGCTTTATTAATTTGTGGGATTTCTCTTCATGCGTGTATTGGCCCACCCCTGCCTGCAGTAGACTGGTTTCCCACCTGCTCTCACGCACAAGACTAAAAAATTAGTCCTGCGCCGCAAGATATCGTGATGAGTCGCGTAGGTCCAATGGGAATCTGCAGACCTCTCCTTCCAACGCATAGTTCTTTAGCTGATGTTGCGTCTAGAGGCAGTTGGGAACTCTGCAACAGAGGCTAGTGGATTTGTACATGGCACGAGCATCAGCATTCAGTGGCCCTGCTCTGTCGCCTTGCATGATGTACCACTTCTGTTGTTGCTCCAAGATGCTGCCAAGAAGTGACTTGTGGCAATAGTGGCATCCTATGATAGTGCAACGTTTAAAATCACTGAGCTTTTCAGTGTGACCCATTCTACACCAATTTTTGTCTATTAGGAGGTGTGTCCACATACTTTTGGCCATATAGTATAGATGCAAATACGTTGCAAGATGCAAGTAGTTGATATCTTGCAAGCTAGTCTGAAGAATTTTGGTTCCTGATTTCTCCTAAATGCCCCCAGCCATTGCATGGATTTATTAAACTCCATGGCCAACACACCTGATTTCAAATAACAAAACACTGATTAGACAAACCAGGTGTAGAATAACAACTACAGTTAATGCAGTTTTTGTGCACTGACTACAGGAGAGGGTGAGTGGGAAAGAACCTTATTTAAAAGGATTATTACAATTATGGCAAGCAGAGGCCCCTATTTAGGATGTTCCACAAATCTTTCAAGCCTGAACGGAAATTACCAGGATGCTCTATGAGTCAACTGTAGAACTGTGTTTCTTTCCAGAAGAGAATGAGAACAAGACCAGAACAGGCCATTAGATGCCACTGCCATCTTAGCTATCCTATATAACCGTTTGGACATGAAGTGAGGAGGGCCATTTGATTATTTGTGTAAAAAAAATTCACAACAGGAAAATGCTTAGGCGACAGTACTGTGCTGGATTTTGGCTCATGCTTCTCACTTACTCTAGGCATTTTTACCCTCAAATGCAAAGCCATAGCATTCTCCAACTGGTTACAGAACAGGCTACTATTCAGAAAATGGTACTATTACTGCAGGTCAAGAATTAAATATAGTACACTGGTACACATTTCTAAGCTGAAGTAATGCTTAGTTCAGTGCATGACTGCATAGATGAAAGTCCCCTCGAGGTAAGGCAAACCACACACATGCACAGTAATTAAAACAACAGTCTGTAAAAAGCTCCTATGGGATAAGGGCCTCCTGAGGTCCAACAAAATGTGCTTTTCTCTCACCATCCATTCACATATCATTGATATCATTGTCAAGAGCTAAAAACCACAAACCAATGGACAGCATCCATCAAAGGAGGAATCAACATGCATATAGCCATTGTTAGTAACACGGCATGCCCACACACAGAAAACAGAGAGCGCTCTATACTTTGGAAAGTCAATGCACATCAGTAGGCAAAAATAAACAATTCAGTACGCAGTGATGCTTTAACAGAAAGAGAGAGAGAGAGAGAGGGAGAGAGAGAGAGAAAGAGAGAGAGAGAGAGAGAGAGAGAGAGAGAGAGTGATTATGAAGGGGCTGAACACTCACCGCTTGGCAGAAGATGGGGTATTTGATGCGGTTTATGCCTCCGGCAAACACAGCGAATGTGAGGGCCGTGTGGAAACAGAAGTTCAGGAGCATGTGCCATCCCTTTCGGCTGATACGGATTGCACTGTCAAAGAAAGGAAAACACATTGCATAGTAAAACATGAGTGCTGTGTGTGCTGTGCAACCTACTTTAATCCTTCTATAGCCCCCTCATAGCTCACTCTTAGCTCATTAAATCAAAGAAGAAACTTTCAGCCTTAGATTGTGTTTGAAAGTGAAAGAAATCTGAGTTTGATGGAAACTTGTGCGTATTTTTGTGGAATACGAAAATTCGCAGTTGAATACATTTGTCAATGTTTGACACTAAAACAAGAAATAAAAAATCAGACAGATTGTAAATTGAATGTAAATTTAATTTATTTCATGTAACTGTATGGAAATAATTATGTAGTGTAAATCAAATGTATATCAAAAAGGTAGTAATTCTAGACTTCTAAGGATTAAAGCTCCAGGCCAGAAATGCTGCAGTTGGAAGGCCAATTTTAGCAACAACAGAACAGAATGATTTCAGAATCAACTATAATGAAGCCCCTACAAAAGCATGCAGATAAGCTCAGAGCTAATCACGGGTAAAATCTAATGCCATTTTAGCATGTTCTGATTAGGGATAATGATTAATGTCAAAGGTCTTTGTTAGTGGAGCATTATCATTATTGAATGTTCATGTATCTGCCTTACGCATCTACATAGCAGCACTATAATAAATCACCACACCAGATTATTACAGCAGTCTGGAGAGTGACTAAGAGAAACACATGTGGCATTAGTGTACATTATCTAATCTGAGTGACTCACTGGGACGAAAAAAGAAAGCAAGAGGAATTATTTAAAAGAAAGAATGCAAGAAAGAAAGCAAGCAAGAAAGAAAAGGACTGTGAGAAAAAAGAAACATAAATATTGAAAGAAAGAAAGGAGAAAGAAGGAGAGAGAAAGGAGAAAGACATCAAGCTAAAAAAGATAGAAATAAAAACTGAAAGAAAGAAAAAGGCAGATATACAGCCAAAAAGAAGGAAAGAAAGATGGATACATAACCAAAAGAAAAGAAAGAAAGAAAAAAGAAAGAAAGAAAGAAAGAAAGAAGGAACGAAAGGGACTGTAAAAAAGAAAGACACAAAAATTTAAAGAAAGAAAAGAGAAAGAAGAAAAAAGAGAAAGACAGCAAGCTAAAAGGAAAGAAAGAAAGAAAAAGGCTGATATACAGCCAAAAAGAAGGAATGAAAGATGGATATATATCAAATGGAAAGAAAGAAAGAAAGAAAGAAAGAAAGAAAGAAAGAAGGAAAGAAAGAAAGAAAGGGACTGTAAAAAAGAAATATACAAAAATTGAAAGAAAGAAAAGAGAAAGAAGAAAAGAGAAAAGAGAAAAACAGCTAGCTGAAAAAAGAAAAGAACAAAGGCAGATATATAGTCAAAAAGAAAGAAACAAGGAAAAGAAAGAAAGAAAGAAAGAAAGAAAGAAGAAAGGATAGTATGAATAAAAAATTAATGGAAGAGAAAGAAAGTATAAAAAAGAGAAGAGAAAGACAGATAGCTAGGTAAAAGAAAGAAAGAAAGAAAGAAAGAAAGAAAAAGAAAGAAAGAAAGAAACAAAGAGCACATGGCAACAGCAAAGATGAGTCAACTCACTCTCTCTCTCTCTCTCTCTCTGTGGCTATAAATCATCTGCAGTGTTGGGGCAGAGAGAGCAGTTGAGGCAGCAGCAGCTTCAGTAGGTCAACGGCATTAACCTGCACCGCCGCCAGCACACTGTCTCTGTGTGTGTGTGAATGTGTGTGTGTGCAGGTATGTGAGAGGCAGAGCGGGTAAAGGGGAGGACAGCAGTCAGCACTGCTGCAGGCTTTAGTTAAGAGTATTTGTTTTCATCAGCCAAACAGCAGGAGGAGAGAATTTCTCTAATAAAAGAGAGGACGTGGAATCAGTGTGCAGTATAATATCATCTGATCTGAGTTAGAGGAAGCCTAACTGAGAGGCAGAAGTGTGTGGAATCAATTTCTACACTTAAAAAAGTATGAGAGCTCACATAAACACACTCAGGCACACAGAGAGTGTAAGTGTGTAGACACACACACCTCCCATCTAAATGACTCAGGCTGTCTGTTAGACAGGCCTGACTCACAGCAAACAGCACTGCACCAGCTTACAGAAAAAAGTCAAGAGAAAAAAGAGAGAGGAGATGAAAGCTGAGGCGAGACGAGTACGGTGAGGGAGATTCATGAGCTGAGACAAACCGTCCACTTCAGTCCAAACGCATTTTTCCACCTGACGAAGAAAGCTCTGCTGAACTGTCTGAAGTATGTGTGTGTGTGTGTGTTGGGGTGGGTTGGAATAAGCTCTACTGGAGAAGACACATAATGAACCATTACAATTCTGTTTGATGAGACACACAAGCACATACACCATACACACACACAATTACCTACAGAAGGTGTAAGAACTTTAAGATGAAACAGCGAAAGAACAAAGTCTCTACTATCACGGTTCTCAATGTAAGCTTATAGAATAGGACTGTAATATATGGCAAAATCTGCAAAGCAAACAAAGACGCTATTGATGATCTCAAAACAATAGACTGTCCACCCCAGTGTCCAGACTATCACTGAATGTGTCTGGTATTACTTATATCATGAGAAGTAGAAGCTTGGAAAATTATTCTCCCAAAAAGATTGAAAGATGCGATGATGGCAAAGGCTAGACACATTGACATTTTTAAATTATATTTAGTTGTCGAGGCTTCTTTGTTTGTCCTTTTTTCCAGATGAAAAATGAATAACTTGTACTTAATTGCCATTCTGACTGGAAATTAAATAAATGCAGTATGGTCTCTGACTTTTACAAAGTACTGTAAGTCAGAAGGCAGTGTACATGTGAAACTAAGTAAAGCTGCAATTACAATTCTTATCGTCATGTTCTCTAATTCTTGTATAAATATATAATAATGCCATGTATTGTCTAATCCATATTCTGTATAGAGATTCAAGTTTGATTCAGCATTGCCTCTTAAAATGAAAGTGTTTTCTTTGTACATTGTCACTGAAATGCCTAGTCTGATCTGCATGCTGCTTTTAGCAAATACCTCAATAATGATAAAGGGCATGATAATCAAGCAGAAACAAGAAGGGCTCTTAAAAACTGCTATGGAAAAAGCCAAGAAATGATCATATTACGATAAATACATGCTGAAAACAACCTAATTTTTCAACATAGTGGCAGGCCAGGTAAGTGTTTTTTGTCTTTTTATCATCACTGACTATAACTAAGTGAAACATCAATCTATTTTGTATGGGAATAATTGAAAATGCCTTGTAGCTCTTTGATAATTTAACCAGTCTGAATGAAGCTATATATAACTCAATTTCTGTAATAGGCAGAAACAATTCTTCTATGAGGAGACTCTTGCATATGTGGTGCTTTTTAGCATAGACAGACAATAATCAAGCAATGTTGATTCAAATAAAAGGTAGTGAGGTAAGCTGTTAGGCTAGCTGCTTGTCTAAGAGCTGATTTACACTGCCATAGCCTTGTTTTAGGCAAAAGCCAGTGTGTGCATGGCATAGGGCACCCATGTTCACTCTGACGGCCAGTCTATTTTAGTTTGTAATGACAGAGCAATATTGCTGGAACAGTAAAAAATTTTCTCAGTAATATAAACTATGTACTTTTTTGATTACCATTCTACGAATGACCCAAAGTTGGGGGCACATGTCAGCCCCACCCCCCCCCAGCCACTCAATTTTGCACCAGTGCCTATAGAAGCTGTAACAGCCTTGAGATGAATCTTCCAGTAAAAAAAAACAATGACATTCCTATCACTATGGCAGCTCTCATTGTAAGTTTATAGAGAATAACTGGACAACATGCATCTCCATAAGCGCCATTCACCAAAGCCCCAAAAGCAACAGCTTGAACAAAAGGCCTGTAAGACTTAGTCATAATGAGAGAGGATGGAAGCTGCTGGCCTACCTGTGATGCACTATGTACGTGATGATGGAAGCAAAGAGGCAGAGCAGCATGACAGCAGTACACGCATATACAACCGGGTGCAGGAACTCCCCCGGGTATGGAGGGAACGACAGCACCTTCTTCAGATCCTAGAGAGAGAGACATAGACAGAGAGAGAGAGAGAGAGAGAGAGAGAGAGACACTCTGAGTATTGAACTGTTTTGGCAGTGACATCATCAAGGACAGCTTGGCATCAGACAGCAGACAGAGAGAAGCTGAGTAACCATGACAGCAAAGCAAATCAGAGCCAATAAGAACTGAGCATGTGAGCAAGGGCACTCACTCAATCCTGCTTATCTGACAACAATAACAACAACACCAGCAGCACCATCACAGAGAAGAGCTCTACACACATATGTGAGTAACTGTTCATACAGGTATTACAGTAGAGAGAGAGAAAAAGAGAGAGAGACAGACAGACTGACAGATAGACAGACAGACAGGAAGAGAGAGCATCAGCGCTTTGGCAGGACAATCTACATCTGCTTGCCACAAGATCAGGGACAGATAGTGTGACCCCCCCCACCAAAACACATAGACAACACACATACACAAGATTTACAGGAAATGTATGATTTACTATTATTACTCTCAAACAAAATAGAGAGTTATTAAATATGTAAATGCTGTAAATTGTTCATTGTTCCTGTCTCTGTAAGAGAGGGACAGAGAGAGAGAGAAGAAGAGGAATGAGAGAGAGAGAAACACAAGACAGAAAGATGACAGAGTTTGCATAGTTTTGAGTTGGATTTTAACAATACCATATGCTATTTTTTCAAAACAATAAAAAGCATTAGCTAAGAACCATTTAGTTAGATGGAACATATTTGTGCTTCATGTCAATCTTTTCATCAATAAAGGTGCATGATAGAGTGCACAAAAAATACTTTGATCTCTCTGTTCCAATGCTTAAGAAGGACACCACAGGATTACTGTTGGCATTATATCCATTATAGTACAACAGGACTATTATATACATCTTATAAAAAAGCACAGAGTATTAAAAATATATACTCATTTACAAGCAGCTGTTTATTACGCTGAAATAGGCAATAACCAGAACTCACCAGCAAGTCTATGATCTTAGTTGCCAAAATCATCTTAGTACATTTAGCTGACATTGGGTAATCTGGCTTCCACACCAGGCTCTAATAACAATGGGGACTCTTAAAAATAGCCAGGCCACAGTCTGGCCAAGCTTGATGAGCATTACAGAAACATTTTACAAACCCTTATATAGCAGTTTGTTCCCACAGTCTGTCTGCGTGCCTTCCAAGCACAGCCAAAGGCCGCAAAGGGCATACGTGTCTGTCAGATTAGGACTGACACTCAGCCAGTGAAAAGGATCACCAGCACTTGCTCTGAATAGCCTACTGAAGCAGCTGTGTGATAAGGTTCAGTGACAAAGCTTACTGACAAAGCCTACTGGAAGGTAGCCAGCGTTTGGTCAATGCTACACCGTGCCTTTGTGCTATTGTATCTACATTCTCCACAGCAGCTCCTGCAAGCTCAGTCAAGTGTTTCACAGCTTGGGCTCGGTGTAAGTGGCCATAAAGGTCCTGTGAGGGGCTGACCATGGCTACAGGAGTGTCACATACACACATAGGGCAGTCCACCTCCATCAGTGTGTGGTGGGCCAGTGGAGTGTAAGGCTGACTCAGGCTGAGTGGTTTGGAGTCAGGCCTGCCAAGGGCCTCAGGAGCTGCGAGACCCACAAAAAGAAATACAAAGGTGAAGTGTGGCTCACTGACTGGGGTTAAGCTCCAGAATACAGCCGAGAACATCACAAAAGACTAGGAGTGTAACGATACGCATACGCATATGCATGTAAATCCTTATAGACACGTTACTGTTACTGGCTTAATAAGAACATTGCATTGCTTGTGTTACTTATACTTCTTTAAGAGAAATAAATTCGTTGATGCATTTAAATTGTAACTTGCTCTAGTTCTATAGATTACCTGTGCCTGTCCTTGTACGTAATTTGCAAAAGTGTGCTGAACAGGATTTTTTGGACAGCGAAAACGCAACATGAACTCACTTACCAATCACTGTTATTCCTGTTGTTGGCATGGTGACAACCAAGATGACGGATTGGGTGATCCAGCAACTTGAACTTTTTCCACAAATATGAAAAGGATTTATGCCCTCTGTGTCATCACAGTTGCTGTTAGCATCTCCAAAATCAACCCAAATGGGACTCAAACTGGGTTACAGAGATCCAAGCTATATGTGAAACCTCTCAAAGTTCTAGCTGATGAAAGAGGCAGTGAAACTCACTATACTCGTTTTGCTTTGGAAGTTGGCTTACACAATCTCTCTGTTTGCCCATTTTGTGCGTAGCAAATTATATGTTTTTGCACTTATTCTGCCTTTTTGTTCAAAATTGGGGAAAAAACCTTTTGCAAAGGGTGTTTTGTGTGTAGTTTTGCTATAAAAAATTCACATAAAAATATTTCGCATTTTCATGTTGCTTATTTGCATCAAGTTTACTGTGTAATGGTCTTCATGTTTTTGGTTCTTCAAACTGTGATCAAAGTCCTGCAGCATTGCAGCACACATTAACTCAAGGAAAACCTAGAAAAATTCCAGGAAAGAACAATAGTAGAAAAAAGGTAGAACAAAACTCCTCTAAATTTTTAGAGGAGTCTACAATAGTGAAGTCTTGCAAAATGCATGACCACAGATTAGGCTAAAATAAACAGTTTTTGAATCATGTCTTTATCAAATTATTCATTTTTGGAAGGACAGTCCTTCTATTTACTCAACACATACCTTTATTTTGATGTGTTTATAACCTAAATGCTGTCTGTCTAGCTGTGGTAACAGCCAGTGTTGAATAAATCACATCTTTTATATGCTAATAAATCAATTACAGAGAAAAATGGTCTCCCGTAGCATGTCAGAGCTCATGTCATAGAATACAGCATCTAAAAGGAAATGCATTGTTGTTCTGGGACATTTCTTTTATTAAACGTTCTCACGGAATGTCCATGGTGTGGCAAGATGTGTTTCATGTTTGGACTGATTTGACCTTAAAATGTCTTTAAAACTATGTCAAAGATTTAACTGGGAGCATAGCACATCTTTCTCTGGACTTTGCTACCCTTACAATTAATGTAGGAAGCAACTAAAAAAGAGATTCTACATTTAAGAAACCAAGTTTGAGATTCTATTTTTGGGAGACCAACCTGAACTCAATCAGCTACAATAAGGGAAATATGGCTCAGGTGTTGGCAACTCTTGGTGCCTTTATGTTCAATCAGAAATTCTGTAAATAGGAGCTCCTGACTCCTGTTGAATGTTGCACCTAACCTCTACTCTGTCATTATGAAGGGTGAAAGCGTGTTTTCAATGGTTTATGGTAGGCAATTCTTTCTTTATTTAACAATTTTAAAGTGTAATTTCTTTCCAGTAGTCATTCATTAGGCCATAAGCATTAGTGTATATCTGTTATTACTGGTGACATTATGTAGATTTCTTAAAACAGGAAAACATATTTAGAAGACACCAAAATACATCAAGCTAGCTAACTAGATAACTTGGGCAATCAAAGTAAGTTTTCTTCTTTCACAACAGCTTTCTAATATCCTCCATGTTTCCATTCAGTGATCGTTCAAGGTCAGCACAAAGTTAGTGGCCAAATTAACTTATTCCCAAAATTAACAACAATTTCCCAATACCCTCTACATGTCTGACTACAAAGGACTTCAACATGAAGACATCATGCCTTGAACATGAAGGCAGCATCTCTTGGATTCTTTCTCTGTGTCTCTTTCTTATCTGTATCTTCCTTTTCTCTTTCTGTGCAGTGATGGGTAACAGCCTCAGATAAGTCTAGCCTAAAAGTCATAATAATTATTACCACTGTATTACATCATGACACAATCCCAGGCTTCATTACCCTGCTCACAGCTCACTGTTAACACTGCAGATCATTCCAGCTGAGCTCTCACAAAAGTCGCTAAAGCCTATCACTATGTTAGCCTAGCCAAGCAGCTAAAGCTTATTACCAACCTCAGCCAATAGCCAAGCAGGCAAAACCTCACACTTTGTCCTAGCCAGAATGTGGAAACCCCTCCGCACATCAGAGCAGCCTTGGTGCTGAACGTAAGCCTAGCTGTGGCACAAGACCCTGCCACAACATTAACGAAGCAATACGGCAAAAGCATTAGCCTAGCTGCTTTACTAATCCCTGCAATCCTCACTAATACAACCGGGCCAGCATTAGGCACACTGAAACCAAGCCTGCTGCTGCCGCTGCCATTCTACATGCTCATTATCCACACTGTCTGATCCAGGCCTTGCTAAGTCTCAGTAGCCTTAGCCGTCTCCAAAAGCACTGAGTGCAGAGACTGAGGGGGGTTCGGAGTAATGGGACAGAGCAGACAAATTATTTTGAGCAAGAGAGATAGAGGATTTAGGTTAGGAGGAACAGAGAGCTAAAGAGAGAGAGAGAGAGAGAGAGAGAGAGAAAAGAGAGAGCTACAGAGAGAGGAAAAGAAGAAGAAATAGAGGATTTAGGTTTGGGAAGGGAGAGGGAGTTAAAGAGAGAAAGGAAGAGAGAGGGAGACAGATATAAAGAAGCACACAAAGTATTCTGAGCAAGTTGGTTCGATGCCAGCAACATGTTTCAAAAAAGATGGGGCAGGACAACGACACACTGGCAAAGTTGTGCAATAAAAAAAAAAAAAGAACACCTGGTGGAACTTCTTATAACTAATTACATTATTTAGATTTACTGGCAACAGGTCAGTAATGCGATTGTGTATAAAAAGGGCATCACAGAGAGGCTGAAGAAGTAAAGATGAGGAGGGGTTCTCTGTGAAAGACTGTGCAGGCAAATAGTACAACAATTCAAGAACAACATTTCTTAACATAAAATAGCAAAGAATTTGGGGAGTTCATCATCTGTGGTACATAATATCATTAAAACAATTCAGAGAATCCAGAGGAATCCCTGTATGCAAGGGACAAGGTCAAAAAACAATATTGGCTGGCTGTGATCTTTGAGCCCTCAGATGGCACTGCGTTAAAAACAGACATAATTCTGTAGTGGAAATCACTGCATGGGCTCAGGAACACTTCT